GAAATGGTGGTCACATCACCTCTTTGCCTTCTGAGTGCTGGGATTGGGAGTGGAGTTCTCTGTTCTGAAAGTAAGGTGTAGCTTCCACTCTACATAAATTATGAAGGGGTGGAGGTTTGTTTGGGGGAGGAAAGGGTGTTTCATTACTTCTCTGCTCTGTTCCTGTCTGGCTGTTTTTCCTTCTTTCAAACCAAAATTTCCTATATAACTCAGCTCTCCAAAGTCACTTTCATCTTTCTCTACTTCTAGAAATTAGAGACCCTTAGAAGATTCTGGGAGCCTCTTTCTGATACTTCTTTTAAGCTACCCTCTTAGAGTATAACGTCTAAGGCCAGAACATTCATGTAATAAAGGTTTATTAAGAAATTATTAGATGGGCCCTGTGTTAAATGCTGAAGAGACAAAGCTGAATGAGACGCACTCCTCCTCTCAAGGAACCAACAGCCTGTAGAGGGAGATAGGCAAGCAAAGTCATCGTTTAGTGGGATGAAAATTGCATGAAGTAGTGGGGACACTGAGAGTAGAGTGCCAAATGATGGTGGGAAGTCAGGAAGTTCTTCTTAGAGAAGGCAGTACTTTAACACAGATGTGAAGGATAAATAGGAGTCTGCTGTTTGAAAGCAAGGGCCTATTTATGATAGAGCAAACCCATAGTTTGGCATGACCAGACAGTGGCAGTGATGATTGAAAATGGAAGGAAAATGAAATGTTTAAGAGTATATTCCACTGAGGGGTAAGGTCCTAATCCTGAACCTAAGTGGTGGGTATATGGGAGTTTATTATGTCAACAGATACTGTGTGTGTGTGTAGTTTCTGCAAAGTCCATTATGTGCTTTAACATAGTAGTTCCTAAATTTTCTACCTGAAAAACATGCCTTTAGGGTTATATGAATTACTTAGTAACCATTTGGCTATAAATGTTAATGTCAGGTATCAGAGGAAAGGGTGTTGATGATTCAGGATTTCTCTTATCATAGGCTTGTTTGAATTGTCACATAAAGCATTCATTTTTGTGAATGTTTTCAATGGGGTATTAAAATTGAACCAAGTAGATTCCATGTTGCCAAACTGCTTATGACTTAATAGGGGAACTATGAAAGATGTGCATATGTGCTGTCTGTAAGCAAATAACGTGCATGGGAGTTTGGGGAAGGGAGAGAATCACATGGATCAGATTTTTGGGATTTAGGGACTGGTCATTTATGGTCAGTCTTATTCCCAAGGTGTCTGAGGCCTCAGAAACTATTATTCTGAATGCTCAAACTTCTGGGTTCCTTGACTGACAAAATGCAAGTTCGCGAAACTTCCAGTGAGTCACCTGCATCAATCAAGGCCCTCTGGAGTGTCGCCATTGTGATAGAATACAATGAGAGTGATGACTGCTGCCTCTTCAGCACACAGGGATGGGTGTAACCCTGAGAAGCCATGCTGTCTGGTGCCCCTCTCTGCAGGGACCAGTGCAGGCATGTCCCCTGAACCCGCTTTTCCAGGGCTCTCCCGTTAGACTCAGTCAGCTTTACCTCGTCATAAATTATGTTGTACGACAGATGGGTTTTATTTTCCCTGCAAGCTTCTTATCTTTGACGTGTATTTATACTTCAGTGTTTTCTGTTTTAAGCCTTTTTCTCTTTTCTTCATGTCCTACAGTTTTTGTGGCTTTAGTCACAGTGCCTCATACCCCAAAATCCTTGTTTTCCCTTCTCCTACAGTTTCTGCGTCAGTGTTCACTCTTTCTTTGCCTGCTACTCCACGAGTCTCTTCTCTGAGTCTCTGACTCCTACCCCACCTCAGCTGTGCTTTGTGGCTTCAGGAAAAGTCCTGAGGTGGGTCTGTGAAGTTTCTCTTTGCTACTTCTCTTCACCATTCTCCTAACTTTTTTTCCTCCCCTTGCCCTACCTCTGCCTTAAATAGAATCAACACAAATGTCCCACTAACTGTGGTCAAGGAGGTGAGCCAGTCTAGATGGGTTTCAAAGATGGCTTAAGGAGCATGCAGTCTAGTGTAGGAGGTCTGAGGTATCGTAAGTGAGGCATTTGAAGGACTCACAAGGTAATGAGGGATAGAGTAGTGTGAGTTGAAAATGGAATGGGGAGCATTGCAGGAAATCTTCACCCTCTATTAGCTAATGGAGACAGCTGGTAACAGAGTTGTTATTAGACATTGGACCTTCCCTTGTCTTGTCTTGCTGGGAACTCTGTCGGGGCTGGTTCACCTTGGCTAGGATTATCTTTCACTAACTGCTTCCGTTTCACTAGGTATCTGGACAGACTTAGTGGGTAGGTGTATCCACTCCTATTTCTGATTCCTCTCTGACTGTTGCTAACACATCTCTCTTTTAGGTTCTCATATGATCTTGGGATCTTGCCTTCTTGTCTTCCTTTTCAGTCTTCACACTGGATGTAGCCGAACAAGCTTAGTCCTCTTCATCAGGGCTACCATGTGTATTTTCTCTGGGGGCCTAAGGGCAGAGTGGAAAGTAGGGTTGGAGGTGATAGAGGCAATAGGAAGGGGTGTTGTCAGGTTGAGATTCCTCTCTGTTTCAGCATCTAAGGCATATATATATTTTCCCCAACTGACCTAGTTCTGTTATAGTTGTTTCTGCCGAGTCACTGATCATCACTGATTAAGATGGAAAAGAATAATAAAGAGACAGTGGTGATAATAGACTGACTTCTGATCTATTTCTCCTTGGATACTTTTCCCAAAGATAGAGATAAGATAAAGGGGAAGTTGGTTGTCAGAGTGATGTTTGGTATTTCAATATCTTGCCACTGGTGAGTGTAAGGGCCTTAGCCTCTGTCTTCTATCTGTAAGTGTTGTTAACATCTGGCTCTTGGAAATAAAACCTTTGGCAAAGTACCAGCTCATTACTGCTTCCAAAATACTTGTAGAAATCTGAGATAGAGCTTGCTATGGACAAAACACAAAGGCACTTCTTTCTAAATTTAGTTGAAAACTCATGTTTAGAGCAGGTCAGCCATGATTCTACACACTCACTTGGACCCATTTTGCTTTTTGTGTTTTCGTCAGTCAAGGTAGTAGGTTATTTCATGACTCTGAATCTCATGTTTTAGACATCTTTTTTGGAACTAGTAAATTCTTTCAGAAGAAGTTATAGAAATACTGGCTTTCTGAAGTATGCTTCAGAGTGGAAGCAATTAGTAAACAGAAATGTTTATTTTTTTAATTTATTTTTTAATTGCTGGAAAAACGCTTTACAATTTTGTGATGGTTTCTGCCGTACAACAGTTATGGCAAATCAGCTGTGATTATACATGTACCACCTTCCTCTTGAGCCTCCCAGAAATCTTTATTGAATGAGTAAAATTTTAGTAATGTGTATGGATATTACTCAGTTTAAGGGGCTGTATAACTGAGGGAAAAGTTATGAAATAAGTTGTAGTAACATATTGATGAATAACATTAATAATCACTTCTTATGGAAAAAACATTTAGTAACAATCTCAGCCCATACTTATATATTGGTTTATGCTTTTCACAGAGTTTCTGTGTGTATAAACCTTGGAGATAAACTAGATGAGTCTTGCTGTCATCCCTCATCTTGCAAATACCTGAAATAAAAGCTAAAGACCAATCTGGGAGTCCTGGGACTGGAACCCATAACCAGGCTTGGTACTCTTTTCTCTCCAAACTGTTCAGACCAAAAATCTGCATGAATCTGTGATAATAAGAGATAAGTAAAGCAATGGGTGAGGTTTTGTTCTGTTTTCTTTTTTTTTTTTAATGCTCACTTTTATTCATTTTAAGGATTGGCATCCTTTTAGCAAATACTCAGGGCCCAGCTGTGTAGCAGATACACATGCACTTGATACAGTGTTGAACAAGACTAATATAGAACTTATATTCTAACAAAGTAAGAAAAATAGTAAATATGTTAACAAGAAATAACATAAGTAAATTCAGGCAGTAATAAAAGTGCTGAAGAAAATAGAGAAAGGCTGGTGTTGGTGATGTTTTTATATGTGATATATTCCTGAAAATGAGCACCAAGGTTTAGTGTACATATGTTTTAAAGGGAGATTCCTTTCTAAGGAATCCAAACAGTCATAAAATACCTCCTCATTGTGGTGTTTGGAGGACCTAATCAAAATTGATCTGAAGTTCAAAACTGGCTTAAGTCAAGAGGGTGGAGTTGAGGCTAAAAATTTGCTATTTTAGAAACTCCTCTTGATACCTCTTTCATGATATTGAGGCTAGGATGAATATTCCATTTTACCATTTTCACTCATCTTTATAAAATAATGAAGACAAAATATAGACAGCAGGGCCTTCTCAGTTTTTAAAAATTAGCAACAGTTTTCTTCAAAGCAAATTCCAAATGTCCAGTATGTGAAACAGCTGTGGCCCCTCCGCTCATACCATGATGATCCCCCCCAAATGCTGAGAAATCACCCAGGGTTTGCAGAACACAGGATGAAGACTACAATAAAAAATTCCAATTTTAAATCTTATGATTGAAAAAATAGCTGTGCTGCTGAAACTGGCACAGCTGCCATATCACAGCTTCCAAATCTTTTCTGAAACCCATGAAAGTCTGCATTCAGTGAAGAAATAGGCTTATATGTACATTTTAATCTAAAATTAAATTTTTGGGTAACATTCTTAATATAAGGCAAAGTCAAATTTTAATCAAGCCTTTTTCTTCAGAGCACAGTCCCCCCCCCCACCACTTCAATAGTGTTATTTAATAGAATTGACATACTGCACTGTATGAGTTTAAGATGTATGGCATAATGATTTGAATTGCACATATTTTGAAATTATTACCCCAATACAGAGTGTGCCTTTCAATAATGTGGGCTTGATGGTACTACTGAGGCTAAAGTACTTTTCATCTGCTAATTTGAAAGTTAAATTTCATATTGGCTGTGTTTTATTTTGTTCATAAACTGTTTAATTATAAATACTTCCATGATTTTTTAATATCATTATAAAGTAATTGAATTGCTGGTTTAAAATTTTTTCTTTTTGTCTTCTAGTTTGCCAGGGTTTGGATACCTGATCCTGAGGAAGTTTGGAAGTCAGCAGAGCTGCTCAAAGATTATAAGCCAGGAGATAAAGTTCTCCTGCTTCACCTTGAGGATGGAAAGGTAGGAATTCTGCTTTTATTTGTTGTTATTGGCATAAAGTGAAGGAAATTCAAAAGGGTAAATTTGCTGTGGGATACTTAACTTCACTTGGAAGTTATATTTTGAATTAATCTAATGTTTTCACTTAACTGATAAAAATGGCAGACAACTTTCTATCCCAAAGGGTTAGTGAAAATAGCAGATACTTTTAAAAATCCATTATTTTGGCTTATGAATTTTTTAAATTTATTTATTTTAATTGGAGGCTAATTACTTTATAATATTGTATTGTTTTTTCTGTACATTGACATAAATCTGCCATGGGTGTACATGTGATCCCCATCCTGAACCCCCCTCCAACTTTCCTCCCCATCTCATCCCTCTGGGTCATCCCAGCCCTGAGCACCCTGTATCATGCATTGAACCTGGACTGGCTATTCGTTTCACATATGATAATATATATGAATTTATTATGACCTGATTTAGATTCGCGTCTAATCCTCCTATAGGTATTCCTGTTTACCTGTATTTTGTTTAGGATATCACTTAAATAATTCATATTAACTAAGAAAACAACATTTCAAGAGCCAGCTTGAGATATAATATTTGCTGGAACTAGGTATTTGAAAAATATTTACTTAGAAGCTATTATCTCTAAAACTCTTTGCTGGTGGCCAGAAAAACCTATAACCAGTTGTGTCTGTATACTTTCCCACCTGCATTCACTGCAGAATAGACTCTTCGTTCCACCCTTTTTATTCTCTCCACTGCATTTGACAGGGCATGTCACACTTTTAGTGTGACATTAATTTCCCCTAAACAATTTATAATCTAGCCAGGAGAATGCAGGATATAAAAAGTAGTTCAATACTGTAATACTAAAAATGTCAAAAGATAATCTTATGATTAATTGCCAAGTGAGTCATACTGTCCTGACAGTTAATATGTATTGAACACTTACTATGTACCAGGTGTAGTTCTAAATCCTTTATATCCTCTAACTCACTTAATCTTCACAACAATCCTATGAGGTGGGCCTGTTATTATTACCACTTTATGGATGAAGTCCTGAGACTGAGAAAGTTTGGGACTTGCTCAGAGTTATACAGGCATTAATGGATGAAGTTGGGACTTTAAGCCAGTAGATTGTCTTTATGGTCTGTGCTTTCATAACCACTGTGCTGTACTGTAAAGACACTGAGGACTTTAGGTTCCCAAGAGGGAAATATCACTGTGGGGTGCTTCAGGGAAGACTCCCAAGAGAAGGAAGAGTTTTGACTAGACAGAATTTGGATTAACAAAGATAAACGGGATAGACTTTGTGAGACTTGGAATATATTTTGGAGATAGTGAATGTCACAAGTTGACTTAACAGAGATTTAGAAAGGTGTGTGTTCTAGTTCAAGGCTAGTGTGTTAAGGTACCTGCTATGTATCAAGTTAAGAAGAGGCAAACAATATGCTCTCTGACATTAATGTCAAATAAGAAACTACATATACTTATGAATAGTGTGACATGTGATATAATAAATATAAATAAGAAACAAAAATAGAACAGAGTGGAGACTGGTCGTAGGATGATGAAGGCTAAGAGTCAGAGAGGCATCATCTAAAGAATGAATAGACAAGGAGGAGTGTGTTTCAGGGATCTGGAGGAGCCTCGGCAAGGGCAGGGAGGCATGCACAGTATTGTGCATTTGGGGGTACAAGTTTCATGTTGTTGGGATTTGACTGGAGAGGACTGGCAGGAATATGGGGGTGGGAACCAGATCACAGAGAGCCTGGTGTTCATGCCGCAACTCTTAAACTTCAACTGGTATATCTGGGAAGTGATTGTAGTGTTTTTAAACAGAAGAGTGCCAGGTTTTCTATTTTAGAAAGGACTCACTGATGGTAGAGTAGAGTATGAATTTCAGGAAAGCAAAACAGAGGCAAGGCAATTATTCAGAAAGAAGGCAGGGAAGAATTAGACCAGATTAGAAGGGCCTTAATTACCAAATAAGGAATTAACTTATTCAGTATTCATTGATCATCCACTCTGTGAGGCACGTTAGGTACTTTAGACTATATTTTCTTATGATAATTCTCACAGCAAATCTGTGGGTTTGCACGTGGTGTTGTAACTATTTTCCAAGTAAAGAAGCCCAGACCCAGAGACATTAAGCAGTCTGCCTGAGATCACACAGCCATTTTTTGTATGGCAGGAACCAACGCAAAGACTAGTCAGCTTTGGAAAAGGACATTAGACCCTAATAAACAGAAAAAGAGAGGTCGAGGGTCAGACTATAAAAATTTCCTCCTCATTTTGCAGAATTCATTCCAACCTGATTTGAACATTTGACCTCTGTATATCTTTTTAGTATTAACAAAAGTATTAGCAAAAGTCTTTTTACAAAGCTAACTTGTCCATCTCTGCAATTATATTTGTTTTTTTCCTTTTCATGTGTTGTGTGTGGTTTCCCCTTAGTATATAGTTGAGTGACAGTCTCCATGCTTAACTTTGCCATAAAACCATATTCCTTAAAATGAGTAGTACTTCTTAATTTGGAGGGCCAAGCACTTCATCAGAAGTATAATAAAAGCTATGGACTGTATTTTAAAGAAATACACATACATGGTACTTACACATACATGCATAGACGCAAAGTGTTAACATCTAATTTTAAGGGATTCTTGGGCCTCTCTGGGTTGAGGAGTTCCCGAGTACTTACCACATACCAAACATTGTCTCCTTTCATTTTTACCACACGCCTGCGAGCTATTTCCATTATGCCCTTTTTACAAATGAAAGATTAAGGTTAAATAACATACACAAGACCACACAAGGAGTAAATAACAGTTTCAGGACTTGAACCTGCGTTGCTCTGGCTCTAGAGCCAAGCTCTTACCACTGTCTTATACTGTCTGTCACTTATACCAGATGAAGAGCGTAAAAAAGAATTATTTTCCCATAGAAAATCATCTGGCCTAGTAACTAGGTAGAAAAAATAATTCTAGGCTTTGACTTTTCAAACTGTATTAGCAAAAAATGTTGCTATGAGTTAATACATCTAGTGAAAACATACTCTCCTTATTTTTTGCTGTTTCCACCAATTTCTGTGGTTTTGGGAGGTACCAGGAAAAAATGTATTTAATAACTGAGAAACAAATCAGGAAGAGAAAATGATCAAAATGTATTAATACATGCCTGTATCAGGTTTTTGCCATGATGTATCCAGATGCTGTATCTTGTACATTTTCAGGATTTGGAATATCGTCTCGATCCAAAGACCAAGGAACTGCCTCATTTAAGAAACCCTGACATACTTGTGGGTGAAAATGACCTCACAGCCCTCAGTTATCTTCACGAACCTGCTGTACTCCATAATCTCAGAGTTCGCTTTATTGATTCCAAACTTATTTATACATATTGTGGTGAGTGTGCATTGCTATCTGAGTGAAATGTGAATTTGTTTTGCTAATGAACATAACCATGGAAATAATGTGCATGAGAAAGAAGGCTGTGGGTGGAGCTTTTCTTAGAAACATATTCACTTCAGTGTTATCAAAAGATTTCAGTTCAGTTCACTTGCTCAGTTGTGTCTGACTCTTTGCATGCCAGGCCTCCCTGTCCATCACCAACTCCCAGAGTTTACCCAAACTCATGTCCATTGAGTCGATGATGCCATCCAACCATCTCATCCTCTGTCATCCCTTTCTCCTTCCGCCTTCAGTCTTTCCCAGCATTAGGGTCTTTTCAAATCAGTCAGCTCTTCGCATCAGGTGGCCAAAGTATTGGAGTTTCAACTTCAACATCAGTCCTTCCAATGAACACCCAGGACTGATCTCCTTTAGGATGGACTGGTTGGATCTCCTTGCAGTCCAAGGGACTCCCAAGAGTCTTCTCCAACACCACAGTTCAAAAGCATAAATTCTTCAATGCTCAGCTTTCTTTATAGTCCAACTCTCACATCCATACATGACCATTGGAAAAACCATAGCCTTGACTAGATGGACCTTTGTTGGCAAAGTAATGTCTCTGCTTTTCAATATGCTATCTAGGTTGGTCATAACTTTCCTTCCCAAGGAGTAAGCGTCTTTTAATTTCATGGCTGAAGTCACCATCTGCAGTGATTTTGGAGCCCAGAAAAATAAAGTCAGCCACTGTTTCCACTGTTTCCCCATCAATTATTTGCCATGAAGTGATGGGACCAGATGCCATGATCTTAGTTTTCGGTATGTTGTGCTTTAAGCCAACTTTTTCACTCTCCTCTTTCACTTTCATCAAGAGGCTTTTTAGTTCTTCTTCACTTTCTGCCGTAAGGGTGGTGTCATCTGCATATCTGAGGTTATTGATATTTCTCCCGGCAATCTTGATTCCAGCCTGTGCTTCATCCAACCCAGCATTTTTCATGATGTACTCTGCATGTAAGTTAAATAATCAGGGAGACAATATACAGCCTTGACATACTCCTTTTCCTTTTTAGAACCAGTCTGTTGTTCCATGTCCAGCTCTAACTGTTGCTTCCTGACCTGCATACAGATTCTCAAAAGATTTACCAGTGTTCATTAACTAGTTGCATTTTATGCTGAATAAACTATTTTATGAACTTACATAATATTACTCAGAATACAAAGAACTGTGTCCATCTTTTGCTTTTTCTCTGCATAGAAGTCGTATGTCATATTCAATACTGATTTGCAAGTTATTTTCATCTCTTACAAAAACCAATACTTGAAGAGTAGACATCCAAAGACTTATCTTCAAGATGTTTTCTCTTTTTCTCAATTGCTTAGCACTGCAGGACTGACTTGAATTGCGATAATACTTCTTGCTTGATTTGCTTGCGTGGGCCCTGCTCATCCCAGTACTATCTGCCAGTAACCCAGCCCAGGATTATTTTTTTCCCTCTCCTAGCAGTTAAGCATACACATGTGTATATTCCCCCTTTCCTTCTTTTTCTTCTTTCTCTGTTTCCTTCTTATTCTTCATTTTCTCTAGCTCTTTTTTCTCTACTGATTTTTTATCCTTCTTTCATTAAGTATTATCTCCTGAGTCTCAGGTCTGAGATTTCCATCCATTCCCTTCTAAGTCTCTGCTGCGTGTACACAACTTGGTGCTCAACATTTCTTCATTGGGCTCCAGTCTGGAGCAGAGACAGCTATCTTTTCTTCTTAAAAGAATTTATATTTTTTATACCCTTGATATTTGCTCTTTTTCTTTCCTATCTATTAAGTCTTTTGCTCAATTTTCATTTTTTTCTTCAGTTTATATTTCTTGCACATATGCTACCTTCTCAGTGAAGCCTTTCCTGTCCACCCTATATTTTCTTCTCCTAGTCATCAATATTCCTTCTCTGTTTAATCCCCCCTTTTCCTTACTATCTATCCTGTAATATATATATATATTTTTTTCTTATTTATTGTCTGAATTTCCCTCTAGATTACAAGTTCCAGGAGGACAAAGATTTTTCCTTAAAAAAAATTTTTTTTATTGAAATATAGTTGATGTGGTGGCTCAGATGGTAAAGAATCCACCTGCAATGCGGGAGACCTGGCTTCGATCCCTGGGTAGGGGAGATCCCCTGGGGAAGGGAACGGCTACACACTCCAGTATTCTTGCCTGGAGAATTCCATGGACAGAGGAGCCTGGTGGGCCCCAGTCCATGGGGTTACAAAGAGTTGGACATGACTGAGTGACTTTGACTTTCACTTTACAATGTTATGTAATTTACAGGTGTACAGTATAGTGATACACAATTTTTAAAGGTTATACTCTATTTAGAGTAGTCTTTTTTTTTTTTACTGCTATAAATATAACACTTAGAAAAGACTCAAAACTTAATTGTAGTCAAATATTTGTTGAATGAATGACTAAAGTTAACATATATCTGCTATAAAATTTAAGGAAATATGAAAAAAAAAGTATAAAAAAGGAAAAATAATTACATGTAACTCACCACTGAAAAATAACCAGTATTAAGTTGTCTTATATCCTGTGTGTAAATGTAAAAGAGTATAAATAAATATAAAATTGGAATCAGTCTATATATAGTTGTGTGTTGTGTTTTTCTATGGCACTTAATATTTGTCACAAACATGATCTGGATCACATAGATATAATAGTACATATTAAACCACTCTCCCTTTTTTAAAAAAATTTATTGAAATATAATTGATTCACAATGTCATATTTAGTTTCTGCTATATAGCAACATGACTCAGTTGTACATATGTGTATTCTTTTTCATGTTCTTTTCCATTGTGGTTTATCACAGGATATAGAATATAGTTTCCTGTGCTATACATAAACCACTGTCCCTCTGTTATGTATTTTGTTTGTTTCTACTTTTCACTGTTATGAATAACATTATAATAAACATCTTCATTTTTTAAAAAAATCCCTTTATATGAATCTGTTATAAAAATATTTGAAGTTCTTCCAATATTGCCACAGATTTTACTACTTTAAATAACCTAGTGCTGTTTGTAAATGGTGTTTTAATTAGGACTTAATGGTTCACCAGCAAATGCTATGGTATATTTTGACTCTTAACTATTTGTTAGTTTAATATTAATTGGATTTTAACTGTGATTCTCACTTTACCAAGTTTGATATGCCCATTAGGATATTACTGACTTCTTTTGTTTTTTTTACCTTTCTCCCCAGGTATAGTTCTAGTAGCTATAAATCCTTATGAACAGCTGCCTATTTATGGAGAAGATATTATTAATGCATATAGTGGTCAGAACATGGGTGATATGGATCCACATATCTTTGCAGTAGCTGAAGAAGCTTACAAGCAAATGGCCAGGTTGGTGGAAGCTCTATTACTATTTCATTACTTTTATTGGATGTGATCATTTCTTCTTTACTGAGTCACAGATATTTTAAAATACGGTGAATAACAATTTGTAAATTATTAAATAAACAGCCTCAATTAATTTGTTTCAGATGGCTTGAATTATTATCAAAATAACCTAACATTTGTAAAAGGACATATAGTTTTTAAAAATTACCTTTGGTATCTCACTATAATCCTGTGACTATTCAAGGACAGATGCTACTATGTTTTATAGATGAATGGATCAAGGTTTAGAAGTATTAAGTGACTTGCCCAATGTTATTCAGCTAGTGAGTGGCAGACCAGAACTAAAAGGCCTAAATGCTGATAGAAATCTGATTGTATCTGGGGTAAGTCAAACAGGAAACTGTGAGTTTTAAGTTAGCAAATTTTAGGGCATCAGTGATCCTGAACAGCATCAGGAAAATGTCTTTGATGATAACTGTGGAACCCTAATATTTTTAGAGTGGAGAATGAGAAAAATCTACTTTCAAGACTAGATTATGCTCTTGATAATATAATTTAATGCAAAATTATGCATGCATTGAAGAATAGTCTATTTTTAACCTATTTCTCTAGTCTATAGGTAAGGATGTGGCATGTTATAAATATGATACTGGAAACCCTCAAGCAGTTTATGGAGAGAAAACTAATACTGCAGAGTTTTTCATTTTCTCCTTTCCAACAAGAGAGAATGTTTGTACATAATTGGACCAGTGTGTAACAGAATTTTAGAATTATTTCAATGACAGAATCAATAGAAGTCATTATACCCTCTTGTTAGTAAAATAGTATTGATACTTCTAATGACAGGTAACAGCTATTAAGTACTCTTTCTGTGCAAGGCACTGTTTAATTGCCTCCCATTTACTAAGTAGTTTTATCCTTACAGGACTCATCTAAGGTTGGTATTGTCATTTTATTATTATTATTTTTTTTTTTTTAGTATTGTCATTTTATAGGTGAGAAAGCTAATGACAGAAATGAACTTTTACAAATCAGAAACAGAGTCATGAACATAGAGAACAGATTTGTTTCTAGGGGTGAGGCAGAGTAGAAGAGGAATGGGCTGGGAGTTTGGGATTAGCAGATGCAAACTATTATATACAGAATGAATAAACAATAAGGTCCTACATATAGCATAAGAAACTATATTCATTATTCTGTGATAAACCATAATGAAAAAGAACATTAAAAAATAAATGTATTGGTAAAATGATTTCAAAATCAATTAGTCTGACACTATGAAATATCAACATATTAAATATAAAATGGCGAAACATGATTTTGTTCTACATGTCAATATTATTTCAGATTCTTCTATAGAATAGTAACCAAAAGTTTACTTTTATGTTTAAAAGTGAGAAAATTCCATTTATTGATATAATTTTTTTCCTCTGAAATATTGGGTTGGCCAGAGTTCATTTGGATTTTTCCACTACATCTTGTAGAAAAACAAACTTGAATGAACTTTTTGGCCAGTCCAGTAGAAAAGCCTGCCAGTATTTTGTTTGTTTGGTATTGAGCTCTGCAGAACAATGTTAGCACCTTACAAGTTGAACCAGAGAGCTACTGGGCAGAGAGGGGATTACATGGTATTCCCTACCTAAAAATAATCCCTGAAAAATTTTTTACTGTTCGTAAAGAATTATATGACTTTTTTGAAAATACTATTTTTAAATATGAAAGCTTGGCTCTCACCATCCTTGTTACTGGTAATTCACAGTTTTAGGTTTATATGAATATTTCTGGCTTTTTACCCTTTGATTTGCTTTGGTTTCTTAATATTACCTCCTTAATATTTCCTCTGTGACTCCAGCATGACTTCTTAATGGCAAGTTTCTTTTCCCTTTGTTCAGTTTTGTTTTTAGACAGTTTTAAAATATGCATCAGTCAGTGATGATATTATGTTTACCACTTATATGAATTAATTTACACCCATAAAATGTGCCACAAGCCTATGCATTGGGAGCATGGGGTCTTAACCACTGGACCACCAGGGAAGTCCCTAAGGTGATTATTTTAAACTTTGAAATTAGTAAGTACGTTGTGGGAAAATACTTTGAGACTATGCAAATATCCTGTTTCTCATAATATACTTTCACTCACTAATTTTAACATCCATCAGCAGTTCTTACCTGCAGCAGTTATTACTGTGGTGTTTGCCAGGTGGGTGGTTGCTATTTCCATCATTCCTTCTACAGGTATGAATATAATCTAAGGGAAAGCTATTCTTTCCCCCTCAACTTACTTATTTTTTATTTTGTATTTGTATCAGGATGAACTCATGGACATGTATTTCATACTATGGATTATTCTGCATTTACACGCGTTACTTAGTCGCTTAGTCTTGTCTACCTCTTTGCAACACCATGGACTGTAGCCCACCAGGCTCCTTTGTCCATGGGGATTCTCCAGGCAAGAATACTGGAGTGGGTTACCATGTCCTCCTCCAGGGGATCTTCCCAACCCAGGGATCGAACCCAGGTCTCCTGCATTGCAGACGGATTCTTTACCTATTCTACATTACTATTATTATTTATTTTGTTCAAACTGTCTGAGATTTGTCCATTGAGAGCTCTTTCTAGTGTCCTTTCACATTCTCCATCATCTTTTGAGCATTTCCTTACTTTCTAGCACCACCTGACTCATTTTCTAATTTTCTTGCCCCAACCCCCAATGAATTCAGCCATTTCATCAAGGACCCCTGGTTCCTTGTACTGAAGAAATGGTACTTAGAAACTAAGATATGGGTGCTAGATGCATTCACTACTTGGGTATCCTTCCCTGTAAACCTTCTCAGTGCACACAGCTAAGAAATATGTTGCCCCCCACCCCACACCTTCATCAACAGAAGGTGTTGTCATAATTTAAAATTTCCACCAAACTGACAGGTGAGGAATGGTATCCTAGTATTGTTTTAATTTACCTTTCCCTAAGTAGCACAGACTTTGCACATCTTTAGACACACACACACACACACACACACACACACCTGTGTCTATATAATGTATATATATTTAAAACCATAACACCATTAAAATCATACTGATTCCTCCAATTGCAGTTCAATACCACAGTTTTTATTTAATTTATATTTTGTCTTTATTTTTAAAATCTTTATTGATGTTTATTCTTGCTTTGACTAGTCTTGGGGTACCATATGGTGGTCTTCTGTTGTGTTTTTTTTTAATTTTATTTATTTGTTTATTTATTTTTGGTTAAATTGGGTCTTCGTTGCTGTGTGCCAGCTTTGTCTGATTGCAGTGAGTGGGCTTCTCTTATTGTGAAGCACGGGCTCTAGGCACACAGGCTTCAGTCCTTGAGGCTCGCGGGCTCTAGCTGTGGCGCATTGTGGCATGTGGAATCTTCCTGGATCAGGGATTGAACTCATGGCACCTGCAGTGGCAGGTGATTCTTAACTGCTGGACCACCAGGGAAGTCCCCAACTGCAGTTTTTATTCTTGATTTCTTTTTTCTTCAACTTCTTTCTTTGATCTTGAGAAACCTGACTCTCTTTATCCTCAGTATATTTACTTGTTTGCTCAATCCTGGAATATTCTTAGTTTCAGAAATGCTAACCCATAGCTCTGTGAAAAACAAATTTACCACTCAAGTGCAATATTTGTGTCCAGGTCATTTTGTCTTTAGTCTTACATAATATAAAGTACCAATTTCCTAGTTACCTAGAAAAACATTTTTTCCCCACTTACTTTATTAGTTTGTTGAACCACTCTCCCATATATGGTCACTTAGATTGTTTGCAACATTTTGCAATTGCAAACAGTGCTACAATAAACAAGTTTGTATATTTATTATTTATTGTATACATTTTTATATTTGTATTTCTTTATTTGTTTCTCTTCCAAGTTGCTTTTAATGAAGTCTTGGGAACAAAATATACAGTCTGACTCAGATACACCGTGGAGCAAGGCCTAGATAATGAGATAATTTTGCCCACATCTTGGGGATAAGAGTGATATATATGTCTTTATTTTTTAAAAAGATGTAAACTCTGTACAACATTCTCCAGGAACTAGAGCCCAAGAGAACCCACTGGGAGTCTATCATCGGTAGGACCTCAGAGGCATCTCAGGGATGGAAGGAGAGGTAGGCAGTTTTTCCACAGCCGAAGGAGGCTGCAGTATCCTCATCTCTGCCGGGAATACCAGGCAGTGGCAAGCAGCACTGAAAGAACACAGTGGGGCAGTGGTATTGAGCAGCTCTCAATATCTTGATCATAAATATTTGGAACAATCCAGTCAGTGATATTTATTACCAATGGGGCCAGAGCTGGAGGGAGACTTCTCATCCACAAGGGGCAAAGAGGGCACCTCTCTGCTTGAAGAGGGACAGGAGAGGTGATGGGAGCAAAGAGCTAGAGCAAGGGGCTCTCACATTCTTGTCTACCTCACCTGGACAACTGCCACAGGGCCATGAGCAGCTTAAACCACCCAACTGCTTTCGGGAGGAAGGTGCAGAATCTAATCACTGACAGGCTTTGGTAGTTTAGGTTCATACCTGTTTTAGAGCTTTTCTCTACCAACTTGGTATCACAGGAATTCTTCAGCTGGGGTAGAAGTTCTGATTGAATGTGTCTTCATGTCCAACACTGGTGCTTTTGCTCCAAGCCAGGACCCAGTTGCTCTTGGAACCTATGGCTCCCGTGTCTAGCACAGTGCTGCTTGAGCTGAACACCGTGGCCTTGGTGACTTGTGACACAATGGTTTGAAAACCAAAATCGCTGTGTAAGCAGATGGAGGCATTGCTGGGTTTAGGGCCTATCAGCTAGTACACAGCAGAAGTGGGGTTTGACTTCACATTGTACACAGTCTTACCCCCAAAGCCTAATTGCTTGCATTTGGTTACACAGTGTTCAGTGCTAAGGCAGTAACCTTGACCACCCTTTAAGACAGGTTAGAGGTGGAATACATTTTTGTATTTTTAAAAGTGTCATTGGTAGGGCAAAAGGTAGGTATAAATATATTGCCAGATGCCCTCTAAAAGAGTTGTTCTGGTTTGCATTTTTGCCAAAATTGTTCAAGAGTGTCTATTTCCCCATAGCTTTATCAACAAAATATGTAATCTTTGTGTGTGTGTGTGTGTGTATGTGCTTAGTCACATCTGATTCTTTGCGACCCCATGGACCATAGCCTGCCAGGTTCCTCTATCCTGGAACTGTCCAGGCAAGAATATTGGAGTGGGTTGCCATTTCCTACTCCAGGGGATCTTCCCCACCCAGAGATCAAACCTGCATCTCTTGCATCTGCTGCATTGGCAGGGGATTCTTTACCACTGCGTCATGTTCTTGCCAGTTTAATAGTATCTTAATGTTGTTTTCATCTGCATTTCTTTAAATATGAGTAAGTTTGAATATCTTTTCATATGTTTAAGAGCAGTTTCATTTTTTGTTACTTTGTTTATGGTCTGAATTGTTGATTCAACTTTTTCCATTTTCTGTTGTTTTTTGGTTTTTTTGATCCTCAATTTTAAGAGTTAAATATATGCATATATATATTAGCCCTTTATCTGTGTTATATTGCAGATACTTCCCCTCAATTTTATTTTGCTTGTAATGTCCTTTTCCTGGGAAATTTATTAATCTTTTTTATTTCTTTGGATTTTAAGTCACTGTTAGAAAACCTTTCTCTACACCAAAGCAAAAAACATTTAATCCTCTTTTCTTCTAGTGTTTGTATTGTTTTTATAGCTTAACTTTAGATCACTGATCCCATTGGAGTTTATACTTTCGTATGATGAGAGATATGGACCTAAATTTGTCTTTTTTCCAAATGGCTACACAGTTATCTCAGTGTCACTTATTAAGAAGCCCATCTTTGCCCCAGTTATTTAAGATGCCACCTAAAATTTATCATGCCCTCAATTTTCTTATGTTCTTGGTTTAATTTCTTGGCTATATTCTTTCCTCTTCCTTTATTCCTGTGCCAGTACCACACTGCTTTGATTATAGTGATTTTGTAGTATGTAGTATGTTTTATGTTTGTGTGTCTGATACCATTAACCACCCCTCCCCCCACACTGTCTTTTTCATTATTTTCCTGGTAACCCTTAAGCACTTGTTTTTATATGTAAATTTGGTATTAACTTACCCAACTCACAAAAAATAAAGCTAACTTTTGAGTAACAACATGAAGGAAAGGAGGAAGCAAGCCATTCAGTTATCTGGAGAAAGAATATTCCAAGCAGAGAGATTAGCAATTGCAAGGACCATACAAAGCCTTGAGGACTTTTGTAGCATATTTGACTTTTTCTCTGAGTGTGGGTTTTGAGCAGGGGAATGACATGATCTGGCAGCTGTGTTAAAGATTCATGACAGATTCTTACCAAAAATGTATATCCTGAATCTAATCATGAGAAAAACTGTAAATGAGGTGTATACTGATAAATAGGTCTATATACTCTTCAAAATTATCAAGATCAAGATAGCCAAAGAAAGGCTGAGTAACGGTTCCTGATTAAAGGAGAGAGTGGAAACATGCCAGTTGAGTGCAATGAATATTTGGAATGAATCCGTGATGATGAAGGAGACAGGGTAACCTTGTAAGGGGCAGTACTGCATGATTGTAAAATAGGGATATAGACTGTAGATAGTTTTATATCAATTTTACATTTCCTGATTTTGATCACAGTAGGTATGTAAGAGCAATGTCATTGTTCTTAGGAAGTATACTCTAAAATATGTAGAAGTCATCGTGTCTATAACCTACTCGCAGATGTTTCAGAAAATATCACAATAAGAGAAACAGAGACATTTATGAAACAAATGAGCAAAATCTAAACAATTGGTGAATCTGAGTAAAGCATGTACAGGAATTCAGTTTATTCTTTTTGCCATTTTCTGTAAGTTTGAAATCATCTCAAAGGTTAAAAACAAACAAAGCAAAAGGACTGAATGTAATGCAACAAGGGTCAATTCCAGGTAACTAGTTAGGAGGATTTTGTATTGATCCAAGCAAGAGCTAATGATAACCTAATAGAGGAGAATACAATCAGAGATAGTGAGAAGTGGATGGGCTCTGGATAAGTTTTTAAGGTAAAATATAAGAAGGCTTGCTTATATGGGGGTATGAGAGAAAAAGAGAAGTTGGGGATGGTGGCAAAGTATTTGGTCTGAGCACCTAAAAAGTTGGAGTTGCTGTTTACTGAGATGGAAGAAATTCAGGCAGGGCAGGTTGTGCATGTAGGGGTGGAAGTATTGGAAGAAGAGGGTGGGATTCCATTTTAGGTATCTAAGACTGAAATAGCATTTTCGACATCTGTCCTCAAAGCACAGTTGACACAAGTGATTCTCTTGCCCCCTAGATGTCCAGTGACAGCAGCATAACTAGGATCCTTGGCTCATTACTTCTTTCTCAGCATGACGCTTACAGAGAATAGTGTCCTCATAGAATATTTTCATAGACTAGCCTCTTAATTTTAACAGTCCTGTCAGCTTACAGAAGAGAAGAACTCAGTGGGCTGCTATGTCTGTTGGTCTTCTCATATTTTTGTTTCACATTCTTATCAGTCTTTTCTCATCCTGAAACTGATTGCTCTCTGATAATTAAAGCACAGTATTATTTTCCTTAAAACATCAGGACTTTTTCTTTTTAATCTCTTTTTCTCTTTAAATCCAAGTAATATTGATTGCTTGATTTGGTATTGTTTTCCTCCACTGTGAATGGTAGAGCAAATAAACTTTATTGATTGTTTCATTTATGGGTTTTCTTAAAATAAATTTGAGAGTTACAGGCATAACCTTAGTGTAAGGGAAACGATATCCATACTAGTCGAAGCTACATAAACAAATAACTATATAAGCTTAAATCTTCCAGTCTCCCTGGACCTCAGCTTCATTACCTGAAATAGAACACTTGCACTCGATGATGTAACTTTACACTGAAGGCATTCTTTGGTATGCGTTTGTTTCCATTTGGTTCATGGGCACTAAAGCAGAAGTCTTTTACTCTTCCCAGTGGAGGGCAAACCATGGTGAGGAGCTTGCAGAGAAGCAGGAGCACAGTATAGACTTTTCATCTGGAAACGAAGAGATGTGGAGTGTAACAACTCACCTCTGCTTTAACCTTGGAATAGCCATCTGACCTCTCTGCATTATTGTTTCCCCCAACCAAGAAAAGATGATATTTATCATGCTTACATCAGAGATGAAAATTACCTTAAACGATAAACATAAAAAGCACTTTGAAAAATACTATTTAAATCTAAGCTGTTACTATCATCACAGTCTTCATCATCATGCAGTCTCATGACTCTATTGCTAGGCCTTTCCTTAGGATGGGCCCTTCTTGCGTTTGTTTAGGCAATCTCTGAAGCTTCACTCTGAGTTTCATTGGCCAAGTGGATGCTGGCTATTATAGATCATAAAATCTCTCCTGTTGCCGCCTGTGACTCACCAGCCATGTGGTACCAATTATTTCTACTTATGCAAATATGAAGTAGCACATGCTATGTGATAAGGAATTTTATATAAGGATTTTATATATATATATAGGGGGACTAACTTCTGTTAGTAATTAGGAGCTGCCATGTTTAGAAATACACTGTGTGCCAAGCATGGGGTCAGGCATGTTACCGCTAATTTCATTATACCCCTGGGAGCAAACGTCATCATCCCTGCTTTACAAATGAGAAAACTGAGGAAAGTAACTTTCAGACCATTGTGCTAATAGTATCTGGGAACTGAGGTTTGAATCTGGTTCTGAGTCTCCAAAGCCTATCCTCTTTGTTGTTTAATTTTCTTACTTCCAATTACATGACCCTATTTATATATATGCATTACTGGAAAAAACAGACTATTTCTTTTATGGCATCTTTACATTAATTTCACAGGCTCTATACTGATGAAAGGCTTCCCTGGTGGCTCAGTGATAAAGAATCTGCCTGCCACTGCAGGATACATGAGTTCAGTCCCTGGGTTGGGAAGATCCCCTGGAGAAGGAAATGGCAACACACTCCAGTATTCTTGCCTGGGAAATCCCATGGACAGAGGAGCCTGGAGGGCTACAGTCCACAGGGTCACAAAAGAGCTGGACATGACTTGACGACTACACAATAACAACATACTAATGAAACAGGGAAGTCAAATTGACAAGAGAAGAATTGACAGTCATATGACAGACTTCTCAGCAGGAATTGGATGTATCTCTAAGGAACATTTGTTTTCATTTCCTGAGTAATCTTTCTGCCTCTGTAGCCCAGCTTTCATCAGTGCACCAGCACAGTCATATAGCAAATATTTCTACTTAAAAACTAATAGTACATATTGTCTTATTTACTTATTATCTAGTAAGTTTTAGAGTTTAAATCTTTTCTTCTTGGGATTAATCAAAAGGAGAAATCTTGGAGAAACAGAGCAGAGCCTATCTTAATGCTTGACAATGATAAAAATGTAGAAAAACCTTGCACCTTCTAACAAGAGAAATAGAGTCTCAAGTAAAAGCTATATCACAGTAAATACATAACTTTGGAAGAAAAATTTTATTACACTAGCTTAATATTTTTCTTTTTTTTAAATCAAGGGATTGAATAAGGGAGAAGCAATTAGATTGAGTGCCTGTAAAAAAATAAACCTCTAGATTTTGTTTCATGAGAATATGTTCACTTGTAAGCTAAAAATTAGACCTAGGTGCTTGTGTACTTAAACGGTTCATGGCAACACCTGAGAGTTAATGCCGAGGTGAGTGGATATAGTAAATTAAATTCTGT